TGCACACTCTCTCTCTAAAATAAATAAATCTTTTAAAAAATAATAAAAATAAAAAATAAAATGGAAAACTTAAAATGTTTAGAAATTAAGAAATACACTTCCAAAGAACTCGTGGGTCAAAAAAGAAATCCAAATGTATTTCCAATCAGACTAGGACATAAACGCCATATATAGAACCTTGTGGGATACAGCCACAGTGCCACTTAAACAGCCTTAAATTCTTACAATTAGAAAAGAATAAAAGCAGAAATCTAACAAGTTAAGTTTTCAACTTAGGAAAAAAGATTAAGAAAAAAAAAAACCTAAGAAATTAAAAGAAAATAAAGAGGAGAAGTTAATGAAATAGGAAACATATATACAATAGTATTTTAAAAGCTGATAGTTAGGTCTTATAAAGACTAGTAAAACTGCCAAACTTAGGACAAAATTAATCAAGAAAAAAGAAGAATACAAATAAAAATGATTAAGAATGAAAAGTAATTACATTACTAGTGCTTAGGAATAGGAGGACTGATAGGCAGAGCACAGAGAATTTTGAAGGCAATGAAAATACTCCATATGGTAGTATAACAGTGGATACATGTCATTATACATTTGTCAAAACCCACAGAATGTGCAGAACCAAGAGTGAACCCTGATATAAACTACAGACTTTGGGTGAAAATTATGTCAATGTACGTTCATCAGGGACAGCAAATGGACCACTGTGGTGGGGAGTGTTGATGGTGGGGGAGGCTATGCGTGTGTGGGGACAGCAGGTATATGGGAACGCTCTATGCTTTCTGCTCAATTTTGCCAGGAACGTGAAACTGCCCTAAAAAATAAAGTGCATTAATTTTTTTAAAAGTGACTTAAATATAATGTAGAGAAAAAAGGTTAGTAAGACAATAGTGTAAAAAATAAATGCCAGTAACTTTGTAAATGAATGCATTTCAACTTACCAAAACTAACTCCAGGCAAGAAGGAAAGAGAAGAGAGAGAGAGAAAAGAAGGAAGTGTTACTAGTCTAACAACCACTAATGAAACTGAAGTCGGTAGGCAAAACTCTTCTCACAATGAAAACACTAGACCCAGATGATTTTACCAGCAAGTTCTACCAAAGCTTTAACTTGTTCTACCAAGGAACCAATACTATTCCAGAACATAAAGAAGAAAGAGTCCTAACTCCTTTTGTGAAGCTATCATACTCTTGATTATAAAAAGCAAGAATATTACAAGAAAGGAAAGTTATAGGCTGCATCAGTAAAAGTTCCAGCAGCAAATAAGATAATTTGAGGAGGATTTGTTTACAATTTGTGGTTGAAAGGGAATAACAAAGGATCCTGTACCTGAGATAGGAACTAGGGAAGAGAGAAGTTACCAGAACCCACAAGGATAGAATGGACCTCTTTGGGAGGACCAGTGACCTTCCATCAAAGGATACAACCAGCCTGGGGTCACCTCACGTTCCTCCCTCCCTCCAGTCTCCTGCCAGGGCTCCCACTGGCCCAGCCCAACTGTGAACCAGACAGTTGATTGCAGAAGTTCATACCATCATACCGGCCAGCTCCCCCTTGGCAATGAGCATAGTAAGGCAAGGGAGAGACCACATCTGGAAAGGCAAATGGGAAATCTCCAAATCACAGCCCAAACTTAATCATGAATTTACATTTACAATCTCTTTTTAAAAACTAGCAAATTAAATCTAACAATGTATGAAAATACTAATGTATAATAACCAAGACAGATTTAAGTTAAAAATGCAAGGTTGACTTAACCTTAGAAAACAAAGTAATGTAGTTCATATCAGCAAATTAAAGGAGGAAAAGTCTTGGTTATCCCTGTGGGAGTAGAAAAAGTATTTGCGAAAATTCAGTAAGTGTTCATGATTTAAAAATTGGAAAGTTCTCAGCAAACTAGGAATAGAAAGGAATTTCTTTAACATGATAAAGGATAGGGGCGCCTGGGTGGCTCAGTCCTTAAGCGTCTGCCTTCAGCTCTGGTCATGGTCCCAGGGTCCTGGGATCGAGCCCCAAATCAGGCTCCCTGCTCAGCCGGGAGCCTGCTTCTCCCTCTCCCATTCCCCCTGCTTGTGTTCCCTCTCTCGCCATTTCTCTCTCTGTCAAATAAATAAATAAAATCTTAAAAAAAAAATGGTAAAGGATAGTTGCCAAAAAAAAGCCTACTGCAAACATGAGACGTTGAAATGCTGAAGGTTTCCCTCTACAACTGGGAACAGGACAAGGACGCCCAACGCTGGAAGTCGTAGACAACACAATACGGCAAGAAAAAGAAACGAAATGATGATATGGTTTCTACAGAGTAATCTTCCTAAATCATCTACATGTAAATTCTTAGAGTTAATAAAAGCATAACAAGATTGCTGGACACAAAATCTAAATATAAAAACCAGTTGCCTTTTTGTACACCAGCATTGAAAACAAAATGTAGGCTTTAAAAATACCAAAAGCACAAAAAATTAAAACACTCAGAAGTACAAAATCATAAAAGATGTGAGAGTCTTCATGAAAGGAAATTATAAGCCTTTATTGAAAGATCTTACAGCAAAGGAAGAGAGACGCAATGTTCCTGGATTGGAAGACAATATTGCAAAGCTGTCGATTTTCCCCGAGTTAGGACACAGAGCCTGAGCAGAGGTTCCGAGTGACCACGAAAGCTCCAGATGATTCCCCAGGTCACGACAACTGTGGGGAAGAGGGGCTCGGCAGGGAACCCCTGAAAAACCCAAGAAAGGGATCATGAACTGAGAGTCACCTTTCACCTTTTTTTAAGGTGCCAACTTTTAGGTGATTTTTAAGGTACTTTTTTGTTTTAGGTGCCAGATGCTTTTCTAACATAGTCTTTTGTTCTCCCTTGTTCTGTGGGTCCCATTCTATATTTAGCCTTTTGCATGTGTATCCTGTCTTGATTTTGCAAATTGCACGGGACTAGTCCAAGACTGCTCTAGCTGGGGTGGTGAGGGGCAAGAGAGCAGAAGAAAAAGAAGAAAACAGTTTATATACCAGGTGTATTAGTTTGCTAACAAAGTACCACACACTGAGGCGGGCGGCAGGGGGGAGTGAGACAACAGAAATTTACTTTCTTACAGTCCTGGAGGCTGGAAGTCTGAGATCCAGGAGTCCCAAATCACCTTATTCCTGATTCTCAGAGGTGATGATGTTGTTGGCTCAGATGGGGATCTGTTCTGAGTGGGTATGTCTCTCTTCTTCTGATAATCCCAGCGGGGAAACTGAGGAAGATTTGGGGACAGGCTCACAGCCAGGGTTTCTCCAGTGTCATCAGCTTGAAACCTGGTGACTTAGTTTGCCAGGGCAAAGTGCCAAAGTACCACAGCCCGGGGCGGGGGGGTGGTGGTGCTTAAACAACAGAAATTTATTTTCTCACAGTTCTGGAGGCTGGAAGTCTGAGACCAAGTTGTCAGCAGGGTTGGCTCCTTCTGAAGCCTCTCTCCTTGGCTTGTAGATGGCTCTCTTCTCCCCTGCTGTGTCCTCACATGGTCACCCCTCTGTGTGTCTGTCTGTGTCCTGACTGCCCCTTCTTATAAGGACACCAGTCATGGTGTCACGATGGATTAGGGTCCACGCTCATGACTTCGTTTTAACTTAATCACTTCTTTAAAGACTCTGTCTTCAAAAACAGCCACATTCTGAGGAACTGGGAGTTAGGACCTCAGCATAGGAATTTGGGGACACATTTCAGCCCCAACACTATTTTAAGTAACCCCCCCCAACAACGCAGTGAGGCCAACATTACTCTCCCCATTTATAGATGATGAAACCAAGTCCCAAGAAGATTAAGTCACCTGGCCAAGGCCACCCATCTAGTAAATGGCAGAGACATGAGTCAAAGCCAGCCTGCCTGCCCGCTGGGACCAGGAGGCTACACCAGTGCAGGGGAAGCAAAGGGGACAAGGCAGTGTATCGTAGGCTGGCACTAAAAATAATGCCCCAACTTGCCTTCTCACTCCCCTGCCCGATGCCCTTTGGTGGCTCCCTGCCCCCTTGGCCAGCCCTTGTGTTCATGTTTCACTCAACTGCGACCACTGACAGGACTTGAAGAGATTCCCTCTCTGCTGGGAAGGAAAAGGTGTGTCCAAAAGGAGCAGAAAAGGAGAGTCCAGGGCCTGACGTCTGGCTGCTGTGGGAAACAGCCTGGAGGCTGGAGCAGGACAATCATGGGGAAAAAAAGGAGGCTGTGGAATCGCACCTTGAGTGGAAACAGGGCTATGAGGAGGAAAGTAGGCAGACCCACTGCTTCCCGTGCATTCCATCCCAGTCCGGTCCAGAACAGCTGAGTCAGACCAGGGGCTCCCGAGTGCTATGAGCTGAACTGTGGCCCCCAAATTCATGTGTTGAAGTCCCAACCCCCAGTACCTCAGAAGGGGACTATATCTGGAGATAGGCTTTTTGAAGACGGGGGTGGGGTAAAACGAGGTCACGTGGGTAGACCCTAATCCAGTGTGAGGGGCGTCCTTATGGGAAGAGGCGATTAGGACACAGGCACACAGACGGATGGGCACGGGAAGACCCCACGGAAGATGGCTATCGGCAAGGCCGGGAGAGAGGCCTCAGCAGGAGCCAACTCTGCCGACACCTTGGTCTCAGACTTCCAGCCTCCAGAACTGTGAGAAAGTTATTTTCTGTGACGTAAGCACCCCCTGCCCGCCCCAGTCTGTGGTGTTCTATGGCTGTCCTGGCAAACGAAGGCCCCAGGTAACACATTTCAGGTTTATCACACTAGAGGAAACCTGGCTGCGAGCCAGTCCCCAGATCTTCCCCCCAGTTTCCCCCAAAATTATCTGAGGTGTGCCCACTCAGAACAGACCCCTGAGCCACCTGAGCCAATTACATTTTGGCCTCTGAGAATCAGGACTAAGGTGGGTTGGGAGAGAACAGGAGAAGACTCGAATTTTCTATCAAATCACTGATGGGGGGTGTGGTTTGCAGTGGTAAGAGGAGAGGGGGTGGGGTATGTCTCAGTAAAGAAAAAAGTCAAGGGGCGCCCAGCTGGCTTAGTCGGTAGAGCATGTGACCCTTGATCTCCGGGTTGTGGGTTCGAGCCCCATGTTGGGTGTAGCGATTACATTAAAAAATAAAATAGGGGCGCCTGGGTGGCTCAGTCATTAAGCGTCTGCCTTCAGCCCAGGTCATGATCCCAGGGTCCTGGGATCAAGCCCTGCATCCATTGGAAAGCCTGCTTCTCCCTCTCCCACTCCCCCTGCTTGTGTTCCCTCTCTTGCTCTGTCTCTCTCTGTCAAATAAATAAATAAAATCTTTAAAAAAATAATAAAAATAAAAATAAAATAAAATCTTAACAAAAAAAGTCAAGGCATGCTGACAGATCTCTGAGCAATCCTGGCCTTTGAGGACTTAGTCATTTTGAACAATGGCTTTACTGATATTTGTCAGTTTCTTCTTCTATAAACTACAGTTTTCACAGGTAACTCTGTGAACAAATGGGTTTCCTGTTAACCAGCATCCCCAAGTCTCTAGGAATTTAGCCCAGCTCTGATTTTTCATGCCCTAGTCTAGCAGTCAAGAGACAGGCCACTTGTCTTCACTGCTAAGGTGAAAGAAGGAGATAAGAGGATTTATTACCTGAACATTCCGGAACCTTCCAAACAAATCTGTTCCATTTTTTCCCCTTAAAAGCTGGACCCACACTCTGAGAGCCGAGGAGTACATTTTCCTTCCAGACCAGCAAGTCCATCTCAGCTTAGTTCGCACAAACATCGAGCCCTTATCAAATGACAATCTGCTAACCCACAGAATAGGAAATTTCTAGATCAGCACCCCCAGCTGCAAGTTGGAAACCCAAAGACTGAAGTGGGTCTGCATCATTTGTCACTAGAGTTCCACTGTCGTGCTGCAGCACCTGCTTCTCGGAGCCTCCCTCCGGCAGTCTGTGTCAGGATGGGACACAGTCAGCACTGTGGGGAAGGGTGCAGAGAGAACCCCAGGCGGCACCACACACTGTGGTGTGAACTCACAGAAGGAGCTCCACGCTCTCCACGGATGGAGGCGTCTGAGGCCAAGGCAACCTCTGCAGGCCACGGAGAGCACGACCTTGAAGGGGACAGCCCCCGGCACCATCAGCCACTAACCATTCCATCACCAATGTAACCAAATGTGCAAAAGTGGCACTCGGGGGGGCCACACTGCTTCCACTGTGAAACTGCAAAGCAAGAAGAGGTGTTCACAGGAAATGGTTAAGATCCACAGCCTTGACTCTTCCCACTGCCCAGAGAGTCTAAACAAATCAGCTTGTGGAGAGACAGGATTTTGAAGAGGGGGTTTGCCGAGAGGAGTATCTTTGAAGAAAGCCATGCTTCTTGAAGGTCAGGTAGGGGCCTGCCACTCACCCCACACATGTTGGGGGGGGGTTCCACACAGCTACATAGAGAGTTTACCATGCAACTCCCTGTAGCTGAGGGCAGGCAAGGCTGGGGCCCTTTCCCAGCCAGGGAATCCAGCCACATAGGGAGGAGAAGGCAATGTGACCAGAGAGACAGAGACCAGACTGATGGGGCCACAAGCCAAGGAATGCAGCAGCCCCCAGAAGCCAGAAGAGGCAAAGAGCAAACCCTCCCTGCAAGCCTCCAGAGGGAGCTCAGCCTTCCTGACACCTGCCTTCAGCCCAGTAAAACTGATTTCAGACTCCTGTCCTCAGAACTGGAGGAGAGGGCGCCTGGGTGGCTCAGTCGGTTGAGTCTGCCTTCGGCTCAGGTCATGATCCCTGGGTCCTGGGATCAAGTCCCGCATGGGGCTCCCTGCTCTGTGCGGAGCCTGCTTCTCCCTCTCCTCCCCACTTGTGCTCTCTCTCTCACTATCTCTGTCTCTCCCTCTCAAATAAATAAAATCTAAAAAAAAAAGAAAGAAAGAAAGAACTGGGGGAGAGTCCATTTCTTCTCCTTTAATCCATCAAGTTTTGTGGTGATGTGTTCCAGCAACCATGGGGAACGAATCAGCAGGTGACTCCTGCAGCAAGCCCCTGGGTTGGGGTCACCTTCTATTCCAGAGTTTGTCAGGGCAAGCGATGCATGAAGGTTGGAGCCAGATGTAGGCCCCACGGGGAAGGATCCAGTATGGCGCCTCCTTGGGCCTGTCTGGAGGGCCGGAGACCCCAGCAGCAAGGAGCTGGAGGTAAACCCCAGGGATGGAGGGAAAAGTCGCAAGTGACCACCCAGAAGAGCAATGCCTCCACCTAGCAGGAAGCGCAGGCCCTCAGAAGAGCCCCACCAGGAGAAGAGTCAGCTCAGAGCCTCAGCCAGCCCCCTGCCACTCCCCCACTCAAGTGAGAGCTGCCTTCTCTTTTCTACTCCTCCCTCCACCCTAGCTTCCACCCTGGGGGAGAGGGGGCAGCGGGAGTGGGGTGCAGGAGTCCAGCAGAGAAGCCCCCTTTCCCACGCAGGCTTCCAGCCCTAAACAAGTGAGGCTGGAGCAGGGAGAAGAACGAGATGTCAAAGTTTACAGTTTTGACTAATATCTTGGCCTAGATGTTCAAATTCCAAATTGAGACTGTTTTCCATTTCAAGCGACCTTAGGACAGACTATTTCCTAAGAGGAGCAGAAAAGTCAACGCCTGCCAGTGTTTTCATCCAGGGCCAGGGAACATTAATCACGCTGCATAAATTTTAAAGGGGAAGTATAAAGCAAAAACTCACGCTGCATTCCCATTACCTTGCAAGCCCTGTTTATTCAACATAACTAGCCAGTTGCAGAGGCTGGTGAAAACATCTCGGTGGAACTGAGAGTAGCTGAGTTCCTGTGAAAGGAAAAAATGCAAATTTGTTTTCGGTATCACTTTGAAGCTTCCTGAGTGGAGCCCTTGGCCTGGACCGACTCTCATTGACGTCAGCCTGAGTTAGCCATATCAGAGCAGCTGTCTGTTTGTTCCCTCGCCCTCGGCCCCTGGTGCAGAAAACACACTGGTTTTTGTTTCATGGGAGATTAAAAACATTTGCTGCTGTGTCCATAATTCACAGCCTCTGTTATCACGGGGACCAGGAATACTGAACAAGAAACACTTAGCAACCCCCCAACCCCACCGCTCAAAACCAAGGGGAAACCCACAGAGAGATGCCAGAGACAGGATTACGCATCAGCTGGGACCCAGCCCAGACCCTGGTCATTACATCCCTTCCCATCCTCCTAGAACATGAGGCAATGGATCTATAGCATGCACTTAGGGCTCTTAGAAACCCTTCAAAACATGGCTGCTTGCGTGAAGCCACGCGCCCTCCTCCACCCTGTGCGGGGGACAGGGCAGAGGTGCCACTTCCCAGGCTGAACGCCCCTTGCCTCTGGTCTCATGGCAAAGTAGCCACAAACCAAGATGAGAAAACAAGAGGAGAAGCCCCCTGGCTCCTCCAAGGGTCGTTCCAGGGCTGGTGTTGATGGGAGCCATGCTGACGGCCATGCGGCTCTCCTGGCACCTGCAGCTGAGACGCTGACTTTACCGTGGACCTTCCAGTTCCTTCCAGCATCCTGGAGGAGACTCAGGCAGGCAAAGCCCAGCTGAGATGGCTAGGGCGGCACCTGGCCTGTTCTCCTCCAGAAATCCTGATGGGATGGATCACTTGTCAAGCTGGTAGATAATTCCATACCCTTCCACAGTGCGACTCAGACACATCCCCTGGGTAACTGTTGTTTGGAACCTCTGTTAAAAGGCAAGGCAACAGAAGCCAGTGGATTCTTTACACCGTTCGTTTGTGTGGTCCCAGGAAAGAATGATCTTCCCTGACGAGGCAGTGATGTGGGTGTCAGAGAAGGGATGTGAGAAGGGAGGAGATGGGCTGGGGAGGGCTGCCAGGCACCGTCCCACTTCCCCGTGGTCTTCAGACCCCTACAGTAGGGACCTGGGAGTCGGTGGGTGCACCCCAGAGACAACCTCCACTCCACCATTGCTCTGAACTCAGAGCCTGCTGAGGGCAGGCTGGGCACCAGGGGACCTGTGTTTGAATCCTCCTCTCTCTGTTGACACTTGTCCCAGACAAAGCAAGAGCTGTCTGAGCACTGCGCCAAGCTCCAGCTGATGCCAGAGGCCCCACGCCGCCACCTCCCATGGCCCCTCTCCCAGGCCCTTCCCTGCGCCTCCCACCCCATGGGCTGGCGGGGGCCTCTCTTCCGAGATCCCCGATCACAGTGGGCTGTAGAGGGCTAGGAGCCCCGAGAGGGCGGGGCCTGCGCCCTGTCTACACCCCGGCTGCCACTGCATAAAAGGCACCATGAAGTGTGCCAACTGACCGCAGTCAGGATGTTATTGTTGATGTTGCTGCTGTTATTATTTATCAGTGAGTAATGATAGTTTAACACATTTCCCTTCTTTGAGTCTGAGCAAGCCCACACGGGTGTGTGGATTCACATCGCTGCTCAGAATGGGGGGGTTTTCTAGAGGAAGGCAGGCTATGGGGGGAAAAAAGAGTCATTTTGTGGTTGCTACTTTTAACCTCTCTTTTATTCACAGCTATGAACTATGACTTATTTATGGATGAAACAAGAACCTTTTTAAAACACTAATCAAGGCACACCAAGCAACCAAAGTGAAATCTAAGCTCGGAGCCGAGCCAGGAATGGGCCTGGGTGGTCAACTGCACGCAGTCCACTCAGAGGCAGAGAGATGGTGGCACCAACAGAAAGGAATTGGGGGAAATCTTGTTTCCCCAAATTGCTAAATGCTGTTGAAATAATACGGATAGAACAATAAACTGAGGTTCAGGGTTGGCACGGTGAAGACAAGGTGCCAGCATTCTCCCACAAACAGTGACTGAATCACCTCCATGGGCCAGGTTACAGTCGTAAAGGGATGTGTCTCCCAGCCTCCAGGAGACAGGCACCGTCCCAACAGACTGAGCAAATGCTATAAAGCCAGGTCTGTAAGAGAAACTGCGAGAGCAGACAACGGATGCTGCCTAGAGCGTGGTCATAACAGCTGAACTTGAACATCAGACAGACCTGGGCCAAATCCCGGGTCCAAACCTCCCTAGCTCTGGGACCCTGGCCAAGTTACTTAACCTCTCTCAACCTGTCTGTGCCCCTTGAAAGTGAGACTATCAGTGCCTACCTCATAGGGTT